TGCCGTCGAGTCGGCCCCGACTCATAGCGACCCCTCCTTGGGTTTCCGAGGCAGTATCACTACGGAAGTAGGATTGCCCAACCTTCCATAAGCCATTAGAAAAACAGCAGCAAGCTCTGATCTGGCAGTAATTGCAAACTTTTAGAAAAGTTGCAAAAACGGTGCCAGGAGCACCCGTCCTCAGTCTAATTCCCCGACGGCTTTCCCCCATTCGCTGTAGCATTTGCTGCTGCTGCTTCCCTCCCTCCTCCTCCTCACACAGATTTCCCCCTCTGTGCTGTGCTGCGTTCACCACGCCCTTTACTGCGAAAGGTCACCTGTGTGATATTTTTTTTAAGGTGGTGGCCCAAGGAGTCCTAGTGGCACACCAGTTAAGCACTCGGCTGCTAACTGAAGGGTCTGCAGCTCCGCCCCACTCAGCAGCTGGGTGGCCAAGCCCCTGGTGATCCCCGTCTGTAAAGACGACAGCTTAGAAAACCCTGTAGGACAGTTGTACTCGGTCACACGGGATGACCTGGAGTCAAAATCCAAGTGGCAGCACCTAAACAACAAGTGTGGGGGCCCAGCGTGCCCCACGAAGTCCTGTGGGTCACACCACCGCTCGGGGGCCGCTGTTTGAGAACATGGCTTAGCGGAACGAACGGTGGGCAGAAGGTCAGGACACATGGGATTCTGGGTCTGGAGGTTCCGAGGCTCTCAGGCCTGGGGTCTAATCCCTGGTTGCCACTTTATGGTCACCTCTGTGCCATGTGGCAAATGACATCCTTTCTGCAGCCCCCAGTTTCCTCCTTTGTCAAGGGGAAGAGGTAAGCCGTGCTCTCTGTAGGGTCAGCCTGTGGGCCACATTTGCCCCAACGCCCCTTTCTGTACAGCCTGTGAGCTAACGATTTACATTTCCAAACAGCTGGGAGCAAAAGTAAAAAGAAGGATAATATTTCATGACTGGTGAACATTTAGATTTCAGTGTTTATAAATAAAGTTTTATTGGCACACAGCCACACCCATTCAGTTACAAATGGCCTATGGCCGAGACTTTCCCAGTTGCTGTGGAGTCAACTCCGACTGAGCGGCTGTGACAACGACCTCAGCGTCCGCAAAGCTGAAAACATTTATAGTCTGGCTCTTTACAGAAAATGTTGGCAGTTTCGGCCCTACCTGCCCCCATCAGCAATTTTTGTGCAGATCAAATTGTGGAAGGCTGGAGTGGAAGGCCGCAGGGGCCCCTCACTGATAATCGCAGAACTTGAACAGACCAGCAGGCGTGATTAAAGCAAACAGAACTGTAACCTAAGAAGCAGGACGACCCTGGGAAGAGGGATCTGAGACTGGAGTAACCAGGGAAGAGAACAAGACCGCTGTCCTGGCCGTCCACGGGGTCTTAACCCCCTCCCCGTCTCCCTATGTAATCACATTGACCCATTGGCTCAGGGACACAGACATTTTAGAGAAGTGACTCTGTCTCCTTGGGTCTCGACACTCAATGAACCTTTCGCTTTCCCACTTCAATCTGTTCTGATCACTGGCTCTTTGCGACAGGGTTAAGGATCTTGCTGTTCCCACAGCAAAATGCAGTGATAGGCATGAAGCTATTGTGAAAATCATGACACGATGTTATGATATGCAATATATTCATCACCGTCATGATCATCGTGGAATTATTTCTATGGAGGCTCTTTGCCCTGATCTGGAACATTCTGCGTGTGACGCAGGCCCCTTTGCTTGAGCTGGTGATGGTGAATTTCCACCAGGTACTTGGTGATGTTGTCCAGAGCGTGTCCATCAAGCTCATAGGACATAAAATGGGGTAGAGGAATGGGTATGCAGTGCGGGGCTTGTTGGAACTATCAGGAACCTGAGACTGTGTCTTCTCTGAGCTCACCGAGCTGGTGGGTTATGAACCTGGAGTCACTGGGAGCCATCTTGTCACACCACAAGTGAAGAACCTACCCAAGAATGAAGCTACCCTGGAGAAAAGCAGACTTGAGAAGTATATGGAGAAGCCCCTGGATCCAGCCATACCTGAAGCTAATCAGACAGATCAAAGAAAATTTCCTTTTTTTTTGTAAGCCAGTTTAAGGTTAGGTTATCAGTCCTTTGCAATGCAGAGTTCTGTCTAAGACAGGAAGGAAAAATTCTTTTCCTCTCGGGGGTCCCAAGATTTCAAAAGATTGGGTATGGATCAGATGATATGACTTGTGGAAGACTCAACGGGGTCTGAGAAGGGAGAAGGAGACAGAAGGGAAGGAGAGAAGGCTGGGGCTCCCATACCTGTGGTTCTGGCCCTTCCAGCCTCTCGTCACCAGGAGGTAGGCAAAGCTGCCAACAAGGAGGGCCCCAGCAGTGAGAGAACCAATGATGATGGCAGCCACGATCCCGATATTCACAGGGAAGTTTGCATTGGGCGGCTCCTGATGCTTTTCTGAGGAAGAGAGGATCATATGATGACTCATGAGGGCTTCCCCCTTCTACTGAACCAATGACTACCCATACTGCACCAGGGACTACCCATACTGCACCAGGGACTACCCATAATGCACCAGGAACTATCCATACTGCACCAGTGACTACCCATAATGCACCAGGAACTACCCATACTGCACCAAGAACTATTTGGGAAGCAGATCACTGGGCCTGTCTTTGAGGAGCTTATGTGTGAGTTTGAACTGCCAACATTTTGGCTAGTAGTCCAGCACTTACCACTTTAGAACAATTTGGGGCTCCCTATCCTGTAGGGCTGGATTACAGGGGCTGAATTTGGGGCCTCGACTGCCCTCAAATACTCAGAAACCATGCAGACTGTCTACCACTAAATTCCCTGCAGCTGAAGAAATGCATTCTGCTGTGAGAACTCTCAGCCCCTTCCCTGATTCGCAGGATTTCAGTCTTCACTTTGTTGTCCTCCTTCTGTTGTTTTTGTTAGGTGCCACAGAGTTAAGCCCAGTCTGAGTCATAGCAGTCTTAATGGATGACAATGAAATGTTGCCCAATCCTGCACAACCTTAGTGATTATTGGGCTTTTGGAACTCCTTGGGGCAATTATGTCAATCCTTCTCATTGACGGTTTCCATAGTTTTCACTGACCCTCTTTTTTAGTCAAAGGAGCTCTAGTGGGGCAGGGGTTAAGCACTTGCCTGCTGACCAAAAGGTTGGCAGTTCAAACCCAACAGCCACTCAGCCGGAAAAAGATGTGGCAGTCTGCTTCCGTAAAGATGACAGCCTTGGAAACCCTGTTGGGCTGTTCTACTCTGTCTTCTAGGGGTGCTGTGAATCAGAATGGACTTGATGGCAAGGGGGTTTGGTTTGCGGCTTTGCTTCTGTAAAGATTTACAGCTTTGGAAACCACATTGGGCAGTTCCATTCTGTCCTCTAGGGGCGCTGTGAGTCAGAATCAACTCCATGGCAGTGGGTGTGGTTTGGGCTTTGCTTCCATAAAGATTGACAGCCTTGGAAACCCTATTGGGCAGTTCCATTCTGTCCTCTAGGGGCGCTGTGAGTCAGAATCGACTCCATGGCAATGGGTCCTACTTTCCCAATCATGATGCCCTTTTCTGCCAATCAGTTTTTCCTGATGACGTGTTCAAAGTGAGCGAGCCAAACTCTCCCATCCTTGCTTCTAAGGAAAATTCCGGATGTACTTCTTGCAAGACACATTGCGTTCTTCTGGCAGTCTATGGTATATTCAGTATTCTTTGAAAGCACCATAATTCAAAGACATCAATTCTTCTTCCATCTTCCTTATCCAATGCCCAGCTTTTGCATGCATATGAGGTGATTGGAAAGACCATGGTTTGAGTCAGGTGCGCTTTAGTCCTCAAAGTGACATCGTTGCTTTTTTAGCACGTTAAAGAGGTCTTTTGTAGCAGATATGCCCAAGGCAGTACATCATTTGATTCCTTGACAGTGGCTTCCATGCATTGATTGTCAATCCAAGAATAAAATCATTGACGAGGTCAGTTTCTTCACCACTCTTCATTCAGCTGAATGGATTTGCATCTCCATTCTCTGAGCTCAATCCATCTGGGAGCCAAAGCACTTCCCTGTTTCCCTTGCTTGCTGCTCTCCATGTGGGTGTGGGACTCCTCCCTGCTCTCCCTGGAGGCAGCCAGAGCTGAGAAAGAACGAGGTGGCAAAAGAGGTTGGGACATGAAACTGGGCATCATCCAGAACCACCTGGAGCCTTCCTTTGCCTCCCTTCTGAGCTGCTCATTATTGGGCTGGGCCTTCCCTTCTCTGGGCCTCAGTTTATCCCTCTATAAAATGGGGCTCATAGGTATCATAGGTGTGGTGCAGTGAATTGCTTTAATGTGGCCCTTCTAGCTGTGGTCTCGTAGCTCCCACAAAATGAGGCAGGAATGAGTGAAGTTGGCAAAACATTTAGCTCAGAGGTACCTGACACGTAGTCAGTGCTTCATAGAATAAACTCCCACAGAATGATCAGTTGGGACTATGCAAATAAGGTGCTTGGGCCCACCAAAGGGACTGGACAGTTTGGCTAATGCAAATGAGGTGCATGGAACACTTGTAGGACATTGGTCAGTTTTGCCATCTCGTTAGGCTTAAAGGGAGCCAATCCCAGAGGTTAAAGGGAGGCCTTCACTACCATCAAGAAGAAGAGCCAGGAGTGGAGTGTGTCCTTTGGACCCCAGCCCCCTGTGCTCCTAGAGCAGGAGACAGGGCTGTAACACTGGAGACAGCGCAAGACGGCAAGAAGTGGGGGCAGAGAGATGGCGGCAGCAGAACCGGATGACTGACGTGAGACCGCACCGTGGGTTTCCCACTCCACGGAGCAGGGTGGCCACAGTGGGTGTCCTGACCCACGGAGCAAGAGAGCTGAGTGCCTTCAGGCTGCTGGAGTGGGGTGCCTCTGGGCACCTATCGGCGGAGCTAAAGAGTTTGTAACACTTGCAAGATGAGGGCTGAGGGCAGAGACCAGACCTGAGCAGGCTGAACCTCCAACATAGCTGAGAAGAAGCTGTCCTGATCGAAGAACTGCATCCTGTATCCTGAGCTAGTCCTGTTACTTCCAAGTTGATCCTGAATTATAACCTGAAGAAAGGTTGGGCAATCTACTTCTGTAGTGATACTGCCTCGGAAACCCAAGGAGGGGTCTCTATGAATCGGATCTGACTCAATGGCAGTGGGTTTGGTTTTGGTTGGTTTGCTTCCCTAATAAACCCTATAATCATGAGTACTATGTGTGAGGTCTGTGAGGCCATTGCAACGATTATTGAATCCAGCAGAGAAATAGAGAGTGTTGTGGGAGGGACAGTGGGTGTCAGAACTGGTAAAAGGCTGGAGGGTGGCAGCATGTCTGACCTTCGTCTCCTAGAAATCACCCTTGGGGTGATGTTGACCTTGATTCTCTGTCCATCCCTGAAGTTAGAGGACCTCTGATGCCATAATTTTTACAGTAGGGGTCTTGTGAGTCTGGAATGAGTGAGGTCAGCTCAAAGATCTCTGACGTGTTCAGCTCCACGGACGGGAGATGTTGTTAACAATTATTCAAGGGTTTGCGGCACAGATATTTATTGAGCATACCTAGTGTGTACCAAGGAGTCCCCAGATGTGCAAATCAAATCCATCCAGAGGGGCCTTGGAAGAATGTCCTGGTGGTCTACTTCCTAAAGGTCACAGCCACAGAAAACCCTGTGGTTGGGAGACATCTAGATCAACTGTCACAACCTAGGCCAGCAAGACAGTGCTCTACGTTCTACTTTGGTGAATAGCAATGGGGGTCTAAAAGGGAATGTCTGTCTAAGGTGCCACTGTTGGTCTCTTCCCACCTGGAGCAAAGAAGAGTGAAGGAAATTGGTCCAAAGGACTAATGGACCGTGTGAATCTCAGCCTCCAGCCCGAGACAAGAGGAACTAGATGGTGCCCGGCTACCACTACCGACCATTCTGATTGCAATCACAATAGAACGTCCTGGACAGAGTGGGAGAAAAATGTAGAACAGAATTCAACATTAAAAAAAAAAAAAGACCAGACTTAATGGTCTGATAGAAACCCCAAGACTACAGCCCTTAGACACCCTTCAAACCTGGAACTGAACCCACTCCCGGAGACCACCTTTCAGCCAAATGAGAGTCAGGCCTATAAAGTGAACAATAACACCCATGAAGAATGTGCTCCTCAGAATAACCAACCAGACGAGACCAAAAGGGCAGCACTGGTCCCATAAACAAAGCTCAGAAGGCAGGAAGGGGTAGGAAAGAAGGGTGGATGGAAAAGGGGAACTCAGGGAGGAAGTGGGGAGAGCGCTGTTACATCAAGGGGATTGCAGCCAATGTCACGACACAAAATGCATATAAATCATTGAATGGAAAACTAATTTGCTCTGTAAAATTTCACCCAAGCCACAATAAAATGTTAAAAAATCAAACAGAAAAACTCCCAAAAGCCTATGGAGCAGTTCTACTCTGAAACACGTGGCATCTCCCTCCATGAGTTGGAATTGACTTGACAACAAACCAAACAACCAAACTCACTGCCGTCGAGTCATAGCGACCCCTCCTTGGGTTTCCGAGGCGGTATCACCTGTTCTTTGTCTTCTTTTTTAAATGCGTGCCAGGAGTCTCTGGACATGCAATGGTTAATGCGTTTGGCTGCTAACCTTAAAGGCTGAGAGTCTGAGTCCACTCAGAGGCCTGGTGATCTACATCCAAAAGGTCACAGCCATTGAAAACCCTCTGGAACCTAGTTCTACACTAACAAGAGTCACCATGAGTTGGAATTGACTCAAAAGCATTTTCTTTTTTTACTCTGTGCCAAGTAAAGTTCCAGGTGCTGGAGCCATAATGGTGAACGAGAATGATAATAAATATGTTGTTGTTGTTGTTAATGTGCCGTTGAGTCGGACCCGACTCATAGCTACCCCTCCTTGGGTTTCCAAGGTGGTATCACTATGGAAGTAGATTACCCCATCTTCCTTCTGAAGAGTGGCTGGTGGGTTTGAACCGCCAGCCTTCTGGTTAGCAGTCAAGTGCCTTAGGCACTATGCTAGATAATAAACATGTATTATGATTTTCACTAGTGATGGCAGGCATTGAGGCCTTGTCACCTTCCCAGCCTGTGTCCCCCGGTCCCCGCTCTCATCTTGTTTGTTCTTACTCAACCCCATACCTTGGGCAAGGCGTGGACCCTTGACTCAGAGGAAGCAATTCACGGGCTGGGCCGGGCCCATTACATTCTTTCCTGAACTCTCTGTCTGTGTCTCTGTCTTCAGCTCTTTCTTGCTATCTCTGTGTTTCGGAAGAAGAGTTTCTGAGTGTGTAAGGCAGCCTGGGCGGAAACTCCGTTTAGTATCACCGTTGGAAGCCCTGGCCAGGGAGAGGTGCATAGGAGGCAGAAAAGTGCCCAGAGGAGGAAGGGCGCCCCCTGGAGAGGAACGGAGCGCCAAGCCTTTCCCACAAGGTCTCCATTCCCCACCAGGCCCTGCTGGGTTCCCCACCCAGCCATTCATTCAGCAGTGTGTCTGGCCTGTTCTAGACTCTCAGGAGACAGCTGTAAACCAGACAAAAACCTGGGCCTCTTGGGGCTGACATCTGAGGAAATTGGTTAAGTGCTTGGCTACTAACGGAAAGGATGACAGTTCGAATGCACTCAGAGGTGTCTTGGAAGAAAGGTCAGGTGATCTGCTTTTGAAATGTCACCCACTGAAAACCCCATGGAGGGCGGTTCTGCTCTGATGTGCACGGGGTTGCCGTGAGTCGGCGTCGACTCGATGACCACTGATTTTTGGTTTTCTGTTCTTACAACACGAGCCTTGGCTTGAACAGATCCTGTGGCCCTGGGTTCCAGGGCTGCCTCCTTGCTCTCCTGACGAGCCACGCCAGCCTCATGCCAGCTGAGCTCACAGGCTCACGGCTTCCTGCCACAGGCCCTTCACTCAGGGTGATCCCTCTGCCCGGACACCTCCTTCAGCTCCTGTGCCCTGTAATCAGAATGGCCACTCATCCATCCTTCAAACCTTCCCAGGCCAGCCTCCCCCAGTACCCCACAATGGTTGCTGTCAAATCAATTCCAACTTAGAGACCCCACGACAGTCGGAGTAGAGCTGTACCCCTATACTGCACGCTCTTATAATCTCTGGACTCCCTTCTCTGCCCCGTCACTGTTCATAGGACCCCGAGAGAGCAGGCTCAGGCTGTCTGAGTCACCGCTGTGTCCCCAGCACTGCTCAGAACAGGACACAGAGGAAGCATGTGGCGAGAGTTTGCTGAAGGAATGAATAAAGGGACAATTTACCATCCGTGTGTGGGAGGTGGCTAAGAAGCCCTGTTGGTGCAGTGGTGGCACTGTGAGTCAGAATTGATTTGACAGCATCCGGCGTGTCTTTGGAGTGCTTCTCATCAGTTCCTCCCCACCTTATCACAGCCACGGCTGTTCTTTGGTCTGTGCTTTGAACACACCAGCCCAGTCTAGCCTCAGGGCCTTTGCACTTGCTGTTTCCTCTGCTTGGAACTCTCTCCCCCTAGAAATCACAGGGTTCCCTCCCTCCCTCGCCTCCTTTCAGTCTCTGCTCAAATGTTGTTTCCACAGTAAGGCCCTCCCTGGCCTCCTTTTCCATGTCGTAACTTCCTGTTTAATTTTCTTTACAACTGTGGGACCCTGAGGATCTCTGGTGGCACTGTGGTTAAAGCACTGGGCTGCTAACCAAAAGGTTGGTGGTTCGAACCCACCAACCGCTCCATGGGGGAAAGATGTGGCAGTCAGCTTCTGTAAAGATTGACAGCCTTGGAAACCCTAGGGAGCAGTTCTACTCTGTCCACTAGGGGCGCTGTGAGTCAGAATCGACTTGATGGCAGTGGGTTATGGGACCCTGGGAAAGTCATTACTTCTTAGTGTCTTGACCTTCTCATCTATTAAGGAGGTCTCATAACATCACCCACCTCACAGAGCTACTGTGAGGATTATATTACTTAATATATGAAAAGCTGGCATGTATGTAAATGTTTAGTATGTAAATGATACTAAAAAACAAAACAACAAACCCACCACCAGCTGACCTGAGTTGATTTGGATTCATGGCAACTTCACGGGTGTCAGAGCAGAACTGGGTCCCGTAGGGTTTTCAGTAGATGGTTTTTTGGAATTAGATTACCAGGCCTTTGTACTGAGACCCTCTGGGTGGACTTGAACCAATAACCTTTCGCTTAGCAGCCCATCAAGTTAATTGCACCACCCACGGACTCCAGGCATACAGCAGGTCCTCAATAAATATTTAATGAATGCATGTGAGGCATATAAGACAAACTGTATTCACTGTAAGGAGCTCTGGTAGCATAGTGCCTAAGGCACCTGACTGCTAACGGGAAGGTTGGTGGTTCAAACCCACCAGCCACTCTGCAGAAGGAAGACAGGGCAATCTATTTCTGTAAAGATTTACAGGCTTGGAAAACCAATGGGGGTCGCTATGAGTTGGAACCAACTTGATGGCAGTGGGCTTGGTTTGGTTTTGGTATTCACTGTATGGAAAATGAATTTGCTCTGTAAACTTTCACCTAAATTACAATAATTTCTTTTTTTAACGGTCAGAATGGCAAAAAAAAAAAAAAAAAAAGACATACTATATTCATTAGGGTCTGGCTCCATGTTTGGCATGGGACGTGAAGGTGAGTATTCAATAAATATTTAATTCATTAATTAATGCATGAGGGAATGAAACAATACTGGGTATTCTCGGGGCCTGTAACACAGGAGGTGCGCAGTGTGTGCTGAATGGATGCAGGAGAGGACCAGTGAGAAGGTGTTTGCACAGGGCCTTGCACACGCCAGGTGCTCAGGACATGTTAGCCCCCGTCCTTACTTCCTCCCTCAACCTCCAATGCTCACCGACCACCTGGACCTTGGTCTTGGCCTTCATGGACCAGGACGGGTTGATGGCAACGACCACCTGGTAGATGCCACTGTCATTGGGCTGGGCGCGGCGCAACAGCATGGAGCCATTGGGAAAGCCAACGATGTCACGCTGCCTCAAGGCGCTGCCATCCCTCTGCGGCCGCTGTAGCCCTGGAAAGTAGGAGAACAGCATCGTGCCACCATCCATCTCCTCCCCTTGGTACCAGTTGAAGTCCTGGAAGGTGTCCGGGACGCCCTGCACGGACAGGAGGAGGTCCTGGTTCTTTAGAGGCTTCTCTGGAAACTTCTGGATGTGGAGGGCTGCTTGGGAGCTTTGGAGAATCCAGAGGGCCAGGATCGAGGCTGTGGGGAGTTACAGGTGAGGCCTGAGACTGGGAGTGTCAAGTAGAGACCACAGTGTTCTCCCTACAGGCCCTGTGAGTGCTGCTCGTGGGCAACAGTGCTGGGATTGATTAGTGATGTCTGCCCTGGGTGCAGACGTGGATAACAGAGGCACGAGTGCCATAGATTTTCCATCCCACTGGCCCAGAAAGTGTCTTTGCCCTGATGTGCTCTGTGGCCTGCTTCTAAACACTTAGACTGTCTGCAATCATTCATTCAGTCATTCAACCAATACTTGTTGTTAACTGCTGTAGGGTTGGCCCTGACTTATGGCAACCCCTTGCACAACGGGATGAAAAACTTCCCAGTCCTACACCAACCCCATGATGGGCTGCAGATTGGACAACATTCATTATGAACCATAGAGCTTTCATTGGCTGATTTGTGGAAGGGGATCACCAGGCCTTTCTTCCTAGTTACTCTTGGTCTGAAACGGGGCAGTTCAGTGGGAAGCCCAGGGGGGCCTCTGTGACATGGCTCAGGCTGGCCCAGCCTCAGCGCCCCATCTCTACTCTACAGGCTCGAGAAGCCCCACCTGTGCTCCCCGGGCTGGGAATGCAGACACTGGTTGAACCAGTTTCCCAGGGAGACTGGGGAACTTCTTGGGACTTCCCAGGATTCCTCCCTTCCTCCCTTCAACCTCTTCCTACTCACTGTGACTCTTGGTGGCAACAGGAGTTATTTTAATAGCTTTGGGTTGAGCCATCGCCCTGCGCCAGGCAGGCCCAACACAGACTGCCTCACCCAACACCCACCACACAGCTTCCAAGCTCTGCTGTGAAACCTGTTCACCATCAGAGCAACGTGACAGATAGTGGCCAAGCATATAAATTATACATGATACAGTCCCAGTCACCCACGTTATCTATGAGATGCTGGCTAAAAAACAAAGACGTCCCCTTGAGGACTAAACTCTGCCTGACCCAGCCCGTGGTATTTTCAATTGCCTCCTATGTATGTGAAAACTGGACAATGACTAAGGAAGACTGAAGAAGGAATTTATGCATTTGAGTTATGGTGTTGGCAAAGAATACAGAAAACACTGCGGACCACCAGAATGATCCAATTGGTCGGATTTGTTTTTGTTGGAAGAAGTATGGCCAGAACGCTCCTTAGGGACCAGTCCCTGGAGAAGGATGTCATGGTCGGTGCAGCAAAGGGGTCAGAGAAGAAGAGGAAGGCCCCCAACGAGACAGACTCACACAGTGGCTGCAACAACGGGCTCAGACTTAGCAACGACTGGGTGGCTGGTGGGACCGACCGAGCAGTGTCCTGTTCTGTTGGACATAAGGTCGCTATGAGTCAGAGCTGACTCGATGGCACCTAACATCAAGAGCACGCTTCAGTATTTTCTCAGATTTCAGGCACTGAGGGCACAGCAGGAACCAAACCCAGCTACGTTCCTGACATTCTAGAATGTTCCATAGGTAAAATGGTGGCGGGATTCCACAGCCCAGCCCCCACCCCAATAATTTCATCTTTCCGCACAATCTTTCCCTCGCTCCAAGGCTGCGTCCCCCTTCTCCCTTAGCCCGGTGGGTACCATCCCCCTTACCTGAGAGCAGGAGGCCGTTCCAGAAGCACCTCTGGGCTCCCGTGGGAATCGCCATCTTGGCGTGCTGTGACAAGCATGCCACGGGGACAACCTGGTGGACACTGAGGGGGCCGGAGGCACTGAGCCCTGGCTGTCTGAAATGGGGGCAGCTCAGTGGGGAGCCCAGGGGGGCCTCTGTGACATGGCTCAGCTGGCCCAGCCTCAGCGCCCCATCTCTACAGGCTCGGGAAGCCCCACCTGTGCTCCCCGGGCTGGGAACGCCGACACTGGCTGAACCAGTTTCCCAGGGAGACTGGGGAACTTCTTGGGACTTCCCAGGATTCCTCCCTTCACCCCTTCAACCTCTTCCTATTCACTGTGACTCTTGGTGGCAACATGATTTTAACAGCCTTGGGTTGAGCCATCGCCCTGCGCCAGGCAGGTCCAACACCGACTGCCTCACCCAACAACCACCACACAGACCAGCTCCCATTTGGCAGTTGAGGAAACAGAGACGCAGGGAAAAGCAAGTCTGCCAGTAGGTGGCAGAAGTGAGCTACGAACGCAGCTTGGCTCCCCCTAAAGCTCTCAGTGGGGTTTTTCCAAAGCGTCTCTCCACGCTGCAATCATTCATTCCACACTTGCGGTGCCCAGCTCTGTGCTGGGTGATGCTGGGGACAGTGATGATTGAGACGTCCTGCCCTGCCCTCAGCCCTCAGCAGGACTCACAGAACTGTGAGGAAGAAAGACATGTCCCCGGACAATGATGACTCAGAGTGCTCAGGGCTGGGAAGAGGAACCCAAGGGGCTGCTTCACCATCTTGGAGTCTGGGAGGGCTGCCAGGAGAAGGGGACGTTGGAGCTGAGACCTGGAGTAGGAATAGGGGTGAGGCAAATGGTGGGGTGGGACGGGGAGGGTGGTCTGCCCATGCAAAGGTTGAGAGAGCCACCAAGGCGCAAATCCCGGTGGGTGGAGGGCGCGTGGGAGGGGCAGGCGCGGCAGAGAGACGGGCAGGCGCAGTGGGGCCTGAAGTGTTGGGACAAGCTTGTGTGATAACGGGGGTAGGGTTGCGCAGTCTGATACCGACTGCAGTCATTAGTCACACGTTCCCACTTAAATATACATTTCTTAATTTAAGGAGCGCTGGTGGCATAGTGGGTTTAGGCATTTGGCTGCTAACCAGGTCAGCGCTCAAACCCACTAACTGGTCCTGGAGAGGATGTTTCTGTAGAGATTTACAGCCTTGGAAATCCAGTGGGGGTCGCTATAAGTCGGATTTGGGAATCAACTGGATGGCAGTCCCCCCCCCCCAAATTTAGTTATTATTTTAATGAGCTCTTTTAAAAAAAAATTGTTTAAATTGTCATAAAAATATATGACACAACATTGACCAGTTCCTAATTTTCAGGTGTACAAGTTGGTGGTACCAGTTACAAGAACCATGTTGTGCAGCCCCACCCACTACCCATAAACAGAACCCAAACTCAGACCCACTGCAGTGGAGGCCATTCCGACTCACAGCGCCCCTAGAGGACAGAGTGGAACTGCCCCAGAGGGTTTCCAAGGATGTCAGTCTTTACAGAAGCAAAGCCCAAACCCAGACTCGCTGCGGTGGAGTCCATTCTGACTCACAGCGCCCCTAGAGGACAGAGTGGAACTGCACGACAGGCCTTCCAAGGCTGTAAATTTTTACAGAAGCCCACTCACACATCTCTCTCCCGCGGACTGGCTGGTGGGTTCAGATTGCTGCCCTCTGGTTAGCAGCCCAATGCTTTAACCACTACAGTGCCACCAGAGCTCCTTCCTAAACAGAAATTCACCGTTAAAGACCCATTTAAATAATTAAAATGAAACACCTTAAAAATGTAGTTCCACAAAGTAACCACCACACTCACTGCTGTCAACTGTACTCCGACTCATGGTGCCTCCATGTGTTACAGGGTGTAACACAACTGGGCCCCACAGAAACCCTATGGCTGCAATCTTTCCAGAAGCAGATTTCCAGGCCTTTCCTCCTTGGTGCTGTTGGGTGGGTTTGAACCACCAACCTTTCCATTAGCAGCCGACTACAAACTGCACCAGCCAGGGACCTGGTCCACAAACTGGGCACTTTCAAGTGCTCTATGGCCACGGACCCTAATGTGGCTTGTTGCCGTGTGCTGTCGATTCCAACTCATAGGGACCTTCTTTTTTTTTTTTTTAATTAGGATTTGGGTGAAGATTTACAGAGTAAATTCACTTTTCATACAGCAGTTCACATATACTTTGTCTCATGTCATTGACTCAAATTTACAATGCAGCAGCTCCCCTCCCACTTCCTCCCCATAGTTACCTCCTCCCAGTGTCCATCCCTCCATACTCTTCTGCACCCTGAGCTATCTCCCTGTGCATAAGCACCCCTTACTTCTCCCATGATTGTTCTCTCCAGGGCGTGTGTCTACTTGAGGTAAATGTTTAACTCACATGCCTGTACTTTGTTTGGCTGGAAACCACAGTTGTGGGTACAATTACAGACCTGAAGGGCAACTAGGGGCCATAGTCTCAGTGGTTACACCAGGCTTCATAGGGACCTTCTTCCGTGTGACACAGTAGGACTGCCCCGTGGAGTTTCCTGAGCTGTAATTCGCAGGGAGCAGATGGCCAGATCTTTTCTCTTGCGCAACTTCCGATGGGTTTGTCCCTTAAGTTAGTCTCAGTGCTTAACCAGTTCTTTTTATACCAAAAAAACCAAAGCAAACTCACTGCCATTGAGTCGATTCCAACTCACAGCCACCCCCATTGGGTTTCTGAGGTGGTATCTTTACAGAAGTAGATCACCCCATCTTCCTTTTGTGGAGTGGCTGTTGGGCTTGAACCCCTGACCTCCTGGTTAGCAGCCAGATGCCTTATCCACTACACCACCAGAACTCCTTCTTTTTATACCAGAAGTGATTAAGTCAAAGACACACCTACATTGGTATGGGCTCATTAACATGACAAAGAACACCCTATTTCCACATGGGAGTCCATCCACAGATGTAGGCTGTTCTGGTTCCCTAGTGCCACTATGACAGGAGTATACCACAAATGGGATGGCTCTCACAAACAGGAGTTTATCCTCTTACAGACTGGAGACTTTAAGTCCAAGTTCAATTAGTGCCAGGCTCTAGGGGCTGGGTGAAAGCCCCTCAACCTTGGCCTTCAGCTCTGCCTCCTGCTCCCGGCCCACTGAAGCTAGCAAGAGGCATCTCTTCACTGAGGCAGCTACTGGCTGCTGAGGTTAACAAGCCCAAGGCTGACAAATAAAATGGCACAGTCCTGATGTTACCAAACCAGAGGGCAGGCCATTAATTCAAGTCCATTGTAAGTCCCCAGGTCGGCAGAGCATGGCAGGCTGCTGAACAATGACACAGCTACATGCAGGGTCTAAATGTGCCATAAGCTAGAGACCATTCTCAAGGCTTCTGCTTATATACAGGAAGCAGACCACATCCCCTAAGGCTGCTACTCAGCTGCTACCAGTAGATTCCACCATGGAGTGGATACCAGTCTCATCATGGGGAATACTACACCCAGCTGCCCAGCCACTCACCCAGGCCCAGCCAAGTTGACACACAAACTGAACTACTATAAAGGGGTTGGAATTGCAACACACATTTTGGGAGGACACAGTTCAATCCGTGACACTGTTCGTCTGTCTCCTGGACACACATCATCAGACTCTCAGAGGGGAAGGTGTTTTCCAGTCTCTGGGTTGGGGAGAGTCAGAAACTCCCCAGTGAGCCTCGGGCCGGGTACACCAGAACAAGTGCAGGCTTACCTACCCCGACCTATTATTACATGCTGGTGAATCGGGTCTCCTTTCGTCTCTCAGCAGTCACGAGATGCCAGAGGCCCTACCAGCACGGAGCAGGTGCTATGTGTTACTGTTACTGTTATTATTATTACTGTTGACCTTGTCTTTGAACTTGTACCTCTGAGGTCCACGCTGTGACCCTGCTTGACGGAAGTGCATGGTGGAGCACAGTTCCACCCTGACTCACATGGGGTTGACCAAGTGACAGAAGTGCTTGACGGAGGGGTTTCCAGTCCTTCACCTCCCCAACATTCTCCAAGCCTGGAAATCCCCCAGGATCTACCCTCAGTCCTTCTCACTGCAGAGATTGCCTGTCTGCCTGCTTGACAGAGGTTGTTGCAAACCCAGTAATTATTTCCAAGTGTAGCTGCCTAAAGGAGCTCTGCTGGTGCAGTGGTTAAGGAATTCTGCTGCTAACCAAAGGACAGCGGTTCGAAATCAATATCCACTCCCTGAGAGAAAGACGAGGCAGTCAGCTTCCGTAAAGATTACAGGCTCGTTAACTCTCTGGGGCAGTTCCATTCCGTCCTCTAGGGGCGCTGTGAACCGGAATCAACTCCGCTGGCCGTGGCTTTGGTTTGGGCTTTGCTTCCTTAAAGATTGACAGCCTTGGCGACGCTGTTTTTTCCAAAGAACCACGATGAAAGGTTACACCAGCAGTCCAATCTCTTTCAAGCCTTGTCTCAGGTCTCCTCAGTGAGGTCCCCCTCAGTGCCATTTTTTCCCTCCCTCGGGTTGGAAACTGGCTCTGAAGCATGCGCAGAGATGGGCTGTACCTCCCCGGCTTCACCCCATCCCTTAATAAGTTCAGCTTTAGGAACTAAAAAGCTTCAGCCAAGGAACTAAAAATAAGGGAAGTGATGAAAACTACGTCATTGGCTTTCAGACGGAGCCCTAACAGAAGCAAGGAGTCCGTTATCAACTTCCTCGCCAAGATCAGGCCCGGCCCCTTATCCATAGGTAGCCAATTCCTCAGAATTTCACTTGAACATAGAAGCTCCCTGAGCTATCTGCTTAACGAGGCAGTGCTTTTAGAAACTATTCTGTTTCCTTTCTTGCTGAAAGAAATAAAATCCAATTTACTCATTTAAAAAAAAAAAAAAAAAAAGAGTTAAGCCTTGGAAACCCTATGGGCAAGTCTACTCTGTCCTCTAGGGACTTTTTGTAATAGTACGTTACATATAATATTATTAGTTACAACATACGACTGGGTAGTGTTTTATTTTGTTGTACATAGGGT